AGATATTATGCTGATAGCCTCTGTACTGTAAGACTTAGAGGCAGATTTTCCCATGCCCACAGGATTTCTGTAATGATTGTAAGCACTGGTTTGGTCCAAAGTTCAGGTATTTTAAAGTCCAGATGGAATAAGAAGGCAGAGGCATGGTAGTATAGTATTCAAGGATTAGGTTATCTTTACTTTGAGTAAAGCAAAAACCAACCAACCACACAAAAACCACTATATAAATGACCTTTAGAATTGCTAGTTCTGGCTCACTGAGTAAAAACAGTGTTCCTAGGATGTGAAAAAGTATGTACTAGAAAGAGTTTCCTCTTAATTAGCTTACCCATTGCAGTCTTTGGAAAATAGTTTCAGAGAGCAAATCAGATACAGTTTTTTTTCCTCTTTCAGTTCTCATTAATACCTTCACACTGCTCCTCATTGTCTACCTTGGGTCACAGAGTTTCAGAATATTTCATTATTCTCCATACACAGTGAGGAGCATTAAGGAGTTCTGTGTTTGTGAAGAACTGTGTTTATTTCTCTTTCTCTTAAACTGAAAAGATGAAGAAAGCAAGCCTCTTAAAGTGCTTCTGTTGCACTTTACTTATGTAATTTAAATTTGGCGAGAATAAGAAAACATGTAGGGAAAACTTCTTTAAAAACATTTTTGGCTAACGTTTCTTTTAGAACCCAAGTTCTGACCATAATTGTTCATTAAACATATCTTGAAATCCACATTTTGAAATTTCCAGAAACAATTCTGTTTACCTCTTGAACAATAATCACTGGTATAGTTTATGAAGTTACATAGTTTACACATGTTTCTAATGAAGAATTCCAAGCACCAATAACTGACAGGTCCTGGGGAGAATGAGAGGGTTACAGAAGTGCCACCTCAGTGTTACTGTAAGACACATTCCTAGGGTGCAGTAGCAACAGCAAACAGACACTGTGGGCTTTTTGAAAGTCCGACTCTGTTTTCTTCTGCAAGAAATGCTCAAAGCACGGAGCAATCTTTGAAGAACAGATGCCCAGTCCAGCACCAATATTCACTGGGCATTGCCAACAAAAGCATAAATAAAGATTTTTACACTAAAGAAGCATAGTTGTACTTTTTGTGTTCTTGCTAGTCATTAGTAAAATACACCAATTATTCAGGGTGAAGAGGAACTCACAACACCTGCTGTCCTCTGGGTTCTTCTGTGAGAGCTTATCTTGTGTTTCATGATGCAAGACAACGGTTTAAGATTTACGACAATGTCATGTAGGTGACACAACTTCTTGGATATGTCTTGTTTTAAATTCTACACTATGAAGATTACATCCACTAGAAGATAAGCTCAATAATGTCATTTTCTTTAAAACTGTTTTATGTAACTGGTTTAATCACAAGAACTAAAGTATCTGGCATTTGATGGGCACTTAATGGACATTTAATACTTGACTATGAATGAATGAATGGTAATAATGCTCCAATATGTCCAAGCTATCTTAACCATCAGGCACAGAACGTAATCAAAAATGGTCTTTTGATGGCAGTATCTTGGTATTAAAGCCATAGGACTGAAATATGCCCTTAACTTCCATCACAAAACTGTGCAAACTGGGTCTCGTCTAAATAGCAATTTATTTGAGTTAGAACATCTTACTTCAATCTCTGTGTAACTTGCTCTTACTATAGGCAATGAAAGAGAGTAGAAAATTTGAAAGGCCTAAATAATTCACTGCAGGAAATAAAAAGCTTTAACTCAGCCTATCACTTAATTGCACAATACCAGCAAGACCAGGACCATCTCCCTACCACCCATGTGTCCACAGACTGCCTGCCATGCCCAGGGCACCTGGACCAAAACACAAAGCCCCTGCTTCCCCGCCCCCTTCCTCTGTTTCCTTGTGGCAGGGTCCACTGGTCCCTGTGCTCCTTGAGTTTTTGGTAAGTACTCAAGAAATGTTGGCATTTGCCCAGGATTTCGGGCAGAGATGTTTAGAGCTCATAGCCTGTGGTCAGTTCAAGTGTAATGTCCTCCGGGAGCCAGCAGCATGCCCAAAGGCCTCACAGCCAGAGAAGCTAATGGTATAACTTTCAATCAGAGGCTGAGAGCCCAAAGTTCTGATGTCCAAGTGAGCAAAAAGAAATCTACCTCCCTCATAGAGAAGACGCTGGCTTCCTTCTGGATTTGTTCTCTCCAGGTTGATGGTGGCAGTAAAGATAGGTCCTCCTCTCCTGGCCCAGTCAGACTCACAGGCCAGTTTCCATGGTAGTGTGTACACCAAATAATCCACCACCAAGCTCCAGGCAAGCAGCTACCTGAAATCAGCCATCACAGCACCAGTCTGTATTGAAATGATCTGTGCACCGCCGGGCCCCTACTCAGCTCCTAACTTCTGGAGGGCTACATCTTACACCTCTCTGGGACTCGTCCCAGGGGGTGGCACAGCTCCTGGAATACAGCGGTCCTAATCAATGTTTGCCAAACCCTTGTTCCTTTTCTGTGCTCCCCAAAATGGCTGCATGGTAAAAGCTACATTTCATTGCTAGCTGTGTTGTTTCTCCAACACAATGCCAGTACTGTGCGACAACAATGGTTCGCTCTTCCGTTTCACAGAGAAAACTGTCCACAGTCTGAGGATGCACCTGAGTTCATCATGATCTTGATTCCAGGAGGGGAGAATTAGTTTAAGCCAAGTGAGAAAGCTGTTGTAGAGACACGAATATGTCTCATGGAACCCACAGGCAACAATGAGGCTAAGACCCGATGATGGAGTAACCAGTACAGGGACTTCAGGAGCAGCACGTCCCATACTTTCTCCACTGAGTTGTTCAAATCTTTTCTCTCTCTCTGCTGACCAAGTCCCTTTGCTTTCCTGGTCCACTTGAAGCAAAATATAACTATCAATAGCTTCAAACACACATTTTATATTTCAGGAACACAAGCAAGATGGATTTCAGTTCACATTCCCAATTTTCTCAAATGACTCCAATTGGCCCGGCCTCATTAAGTGCCCTCCTCAGACAACTACATGCAGCTGGAGGTAGAGCTCAACCATACATCCCAGGGACCCGCAGACACACCAGAGGGTGGGTACCAGGCTTCCCAGGGCTTTCGTGTTTAAGGAAAATGCAATCAGAATGGACCATTCCAAATGTATTTGTGAATGTTTTCTATAAAGTATGTTTTTAAAGCAATAATGTTCAAATTTTTTCTATTATTAATTAATGGTACCAATAGAAAATGCCTAAGTAAAAACATATTTGCTTTGTTTTAAAAATAAATTTATTTTATTATATAATATTGATAGTTTACATAACCAGTCTTTTAATGTATGCAAAAAACAATTATAAAACACATTTTCAAAAGACATGAAAGTGCTTGAAATTCTTTCTTGATATCAGAATTTCAGAAGGCATCATTAAAATTTTATAATCTAAACAATTTTCCCAAGCCTGAACTGGCCTGAGAGATTTCATTGGTCAACCAGCCTCAGTCCAGCAAAGAAACATTCCTGGATTGCTTAGTGTTTCTAAATGCTCCAAGGGGGCATTTCTCTCAAGCCCTTCAGTATCAAAGAAGACTGAGGAGCTAAGGGGCAAAAGGATCCCACAGGAGACCGGAAATAAAGCAAAAATGACACTAATAAGTTGAGTACAATACTGCTTCAATGATGACCATTAAGTCTGAAGGAAAAATAATCAATGTTGAACATCACCAGTTGTGCGACTGTGCCCTAACTGGTAGCTGAGCTTTTCTGCGTCACATGTGAGCACTCAGAGCAGGCTCACTCAAACACTGCGCATGCGACAAAAGGATGCATGGCTGGGCTTTGGTGTGAACACTCTGCTTCATGTTGGCTATGGAACCCACATTACAAAGATTCTGATGAATATTTTGCTTGGCTGATGGTCACAGATTGCAGCAATTTGGGGACATCTTTCACTCGTTTTTGTAAGTGACTCATCTAATCAATGTAAAGTCAGGCATTCTATGGAATATTGGCTAAATCCAGATTTCACCTTTTCAGGGTTAACACAGTCTTTACTAAAAAGGCCATGAGGCTGAAGGAGCGTCTGGCAGAATTGATCAAGTAATGGATGCTGTGGTCATGATATTGGTGCCCCCAACCTCACCTGAGACCAACGCTGTGTGCTATTGTGAAGAAAGACCAGAAATGGTCACAACCGGGGTCTGCCTGAGGCCTCGGATGCTGTCACCAACATGGACAGTCTCTTCCCGGGCAGTCATTTAAGTACTTAGAAGTATTAAGCTGAGCATTAGTACTTCAGCAGGACTTAAGAAATGCCAAGCATTTGCTTACCCAGCTTTATTCATTACTCTAGTTATGGAACAGTTCTGTTTGCTTTGGTAATGCAAGAATTCATTTGAGTTACTGAGACTTCATAGTGAAGCAAAGAAAGGTAAGAAATGTCAACTCTATGAAAGGAACAATGATCACACCCACCCTGGCTGGGACTCTGCACCTTGTGTCCTTGCAGGAATATGGCCTTGACAGTGAGGAGCACAAGGGGCAACAGAAATCCTGGCTTATGCTGTTGGCTTAGGTGACGCCAACCCAAATGAACAAAGAGGCTAATGAAGAGCACCAACTTCAAAAAGGGATAGACTTAGTCTTAATTCTAGCCCTGCCGATTCCTAACTCTTTAGAGCTAGGCTAGGTTATGTATCTTCTTTGGGCCTCTCCCAATCTGGGAAATGAGAATCATAATACCTTTCTCACAGATTGCCAAGAGGACCAAATGAAATAATATATTTCAAACCCTTAGCACATAGCATGTGAAAACAGTAGCTTTATTGATAATTAATTTCCTAAGATCTAAACTCCTTGCCACTTTTCTTTTTTACTTGACTAATAATCCTGGTAACAAAACCTAAGTGGAAATTTACTGAAACGTCCTGTTTTGTTGTTGTTGCTACCTAATGAGGTGCTTTTTCCCAATTGCTAGACTATAATTAAATTATTAGTAGTAGTAGTAAAAAATGACAGTAAACAACACAAAGTTAAAAATAAGAAGTACAGTATTTAAAGTTCATTTCTACAAGTTGTTTTCCTGAGACGTGTTCCTTCTGTTTTCAAATGAGCAAGGCAGTGTGTAGCTTGGACCAGCCGGGAGGAAACTTCATGGCCTGTGGGTGAAAAGGTAAGAGCGATCACTTAAAAGAAATATACTATATAGCAATAATAGTGGTAGTAAAAATCCAGAGTCAGCATTAGTGTTTCTTTGTAACAAGGAAGGAGCACACTATAATTCCTCCATGGGCATATACAGTATTGTACCTAGGAAGCTCTTGGCTGCTGGAGGCAGGAGATGGTACTACAGAGACTGCTGTGGGCCACAGCTCCATCATGCTGGCTGTGCACAGGGAGCATGAGGCCCAATTGCTATTGGCCATTTGAACAGTGAACAGAAAGAGAAAAGTCATCCACTTCAGTGCGCATCTGGTCTGACCAGGCTGGAAGCCTGCTTCACCTCTGAGCTGCCACTCACAGGAGCCTTCATGCTGCTCCGACTCAGAGCCAGTCTGAGCTGGACTCAGTGTGACCACCACCAATGCTGTGCTGCTTGGTCCTGCTACTCTGCACCCTGTCCCATCTATCCCACTTTGTCTCCAGTGTGCTGACTGCTGTAGATCACATCACCTGCTCTGTGCCTTCGGATTCTGGTTGGGCTTACTATTGGAGGCACCTGCTAAGAGGTCTGAAGGTTGGCAAGGAGAGCTAGGGATGTTTCACTATTTCCTCCTCTGTCTCTGCACAGGCTCCAGTGGTGCCTATTCCTGCCACAGCTCTGCCTCCTGCCTGGCAGGCTCCTATCCCGAGCTCCTCAGAGTGCCAGGTGAAAATTACCCCAATGGCCGAGGCACAGGAGGGACAACAGCTCCTTGTCATTGCTGCTGAGAGTTTCAAGCTCCCCAAAGTTCCCTTAGGCTGCCCATGGGCAACCAAAATCTCTTCCATGGATGACCTGAGAGGACTCGTGACCCCTGCTGGGACCCTGACTGAGATGACACTGAAACAACACTCAGCACATAGTAAATGCTTAGTGAGTGTAAGTGAAAATACCTGGCCTCTAGCCCCTCAAATGAGAATGAAAGAAACAAAATAACCACAACCCCCATGAAAAAGTAGAATGCATGCAGAAGAAACATGTGACATGCAGATTATGTGCAAAAGAAACATATGCCAAAGTCCTTTGTTTGGGCTACAGTTCTCTGAAAAAGCCACCAATTTATTTTTAAATGTTTTAAAACTTAACCAAATTCCTGCCGGAGGTTATTAGACCATCTCACTACTTAGAGGTCACTTGGACAGTTTCCTATCTGCCAAGTCCACCACACTTACTGTCAAGCAATATTAGTTTCTTCAACGCCTTCATTTAGAGGAGTCGTATCTTTACCCAAAGCTTCCCTTTCTTCTTCTTTCTTCCTTTCTTCACGATGTTTCTGAAGAGGACTTAGAAAATAACATGTCAGAAATTAATCTGGGCCTGTTAATTCAAGCAAATATAAAATTATTCAACAGGAAAGCCTGTGATCTTATTTCTAGACTGTTAAAAATGCGTAAGTTCATTTTTGCTTAAATATTTTGAGCTCTCCTTTAACACATCTCTTTTTCTAGGCTCAGATGATAGCTACAGCAGGCAACAGTGTGGGTAGAGAAGCGTTATCTAACAGGAAGACTATGCAGCTAATGGTTGATGGAAATTAGTTAGGGCACAAGACAAGTTTCCAGGAAACGTCATTTTACAAAGTAGAACAAGGAGCATTATTCAGAGTGTAAAGAAAAAACTGTAAAAATTGTAACAAGCATTAAAAATAAAGTGACAGCAGCCTCTGGATATATTAATTAAGCTTCTACATACTTGAATCTATCAAAGTGGTTAAATACTGTATTCTGCACTGTTTTCCAGTTTCCTGGAAGTGCCGTTAGAAGTTAGTGTTACCAAATAGCCCATTTTTCGGTACAGCCCACTCATCCTCTGCCTCAAATCGGGCATTATAAGTATTTCCTACCACCATAAAGTATGTAAAATCAAAAATATTTTTCAATTTTATAGTTAGAAGGGATCCTATAGATTAGCTGGTCTAATGCTTTGGTTTTACACAAAATGCAATTAAAGTTCCCAGATGTTGAGAAATTTGTGCCAAGTCTCAGAGACACAATGGCAGAGCTGATCCAGGAATCAAAGACATGTTCATGCTTGTGTTTTGATGCCCAGGACACTGTGAAGAAAGGAATTTCCAGGCACCCTCTGTTGGTATGGGCCACAGCGCAGAAGTAGATGCAATTGTTTAGGAAGCTGGACCAAACAGGCCCTCTCTTCAGTGTATGTTTTTGGCCCCTTTGTCAAAGACCAGAGGCTGAATGTGCCTGGGGTTGTTTCTGAGCCCTCTGTTCTGCTCCATTCATCCACATGCCTATTTTTGTGGCAGGACCATGCTGTTTCTATCACACTATAGCTTTGTAATATAACTTCAAGTCCAGGACTGTGATACTTCCTGCTTTGCTCTTGTTACTCAGGAATTTGTTATTCTGAGTTTCTTCTGGTTCTATATAATCTTAGGACAATTTTTCTAGTTCTGTGAAGAATGCTCTTGGTATTTTGATTGGAACTGCAATAGACATATATATATATATATATATATTTATATATATAAATAAAATTTTACAGTGGATAAATTAAATTGAAGGAAGATTGTTTCAGTGATGAAAATGTGACTCATTGTTTTCTTCCTAAATTATGTTTTAGTTTTCTTGATTTACTTAGTTTTTCTTGATCTTATACGTTAACAGTTTTGTACAGTATAATAGAGAAAAAAGAACAGAATAATCTAGTTTAGTTAAGAATTCACTTATAGTAACAATACCATTGAATTTACTATTGTACTACAGTAAATTACATAAATGTTTGCCAAAATGCATGTGTGATATTTAAACATACTACTAGTCCTTTTAGTTAGCAAATTTCATAAGAGTTATTAGCTCACCAACTGGGTGAAGTCCTTTATTTAAAACTAAAGCAAATAAAGCTTACTTTACAATCTACCATTTGGGACTTGCTTGAATGAGAAAGAATAAGCACACATCAAGAAATTTTCCTTTCTGGAAAAACAATCTCAAAACTAAACTGTATTAAGCTAATTAATACTATATTTGGCAACAAATAAAATAAAATGTACATCTGTAGAAAGAGCTAAAACTGCTTACCTTCATTTGATTTCTAATTAAGTCTATCAACATCTATGATGATGGAAAAAATGGTCAACAGTAGAGAAATAAAACAAATTTTTTCCCTAAAACTTAAAGAGATTTTGATACATTCAATATTTTAATGATGATCATCTCATTAGACCTATATAGATTTAAAATTACATTTTAATATCCACATATTAATTAAGGGCATCCCTTGAAAAATGTTTATGTCCATAGGAGCTTGTTCTGTTGTTGCACAGACAATATAAATTGGTGTTGAATAAATAAACTCAGCTTCATCTTTTACTCCTCCAATATAGTGTTTATGAAATTCACTACTTACTTTTTCCATTTTACCAAGAAAGAAAGCCTGACTATCTTTTCTATATATTTTTTGAATAAAAATATTATAAAAACATTAAGGAATGAAGTATAAATTAAAAGTACCCAAAACTTTAAAATGAAATCTAGCAGAGTAAGACCAAAAGAGAAATTACATTGTATTTCCCAATGTAGTCTGTATATAATAAAAAGGTAATTTAGTCTTGATATTATCTTTGTGGTTCAAAACACCAGATAATTTTGGAGGAGGTGTTACAAAGAACAATAACCATTCTCTAAGGAAATCTACCCTGCTTTAGCAAATTTCAAAAGTTAAAAACAAATTTCATATCTCAACTTTGACACTTTCTGTAGTGAATGATAATCCAGAGTTTTAACTCAATTAACTTAAATATCTCAGAAAGAAGGAAATAAGACTTATGTCACTGGAGAAACAGTACATACATATTCTTTTTCACAGAGAGTGTTTTAAAGATGTGATAATCTCATTATATCCCTTCCATAATGAGATATCACACATAAGTGAGAACCTTAATAATGTTAAGAGATAATCAGGATTCTTGTAAGATTTAGTATCAATCTCAAAGACTTCTATTGCTCAATAATTCTATTATTCACTTGATCTTAATGGAATTAAAATTTATCAAAGGACATATGGAATTATGAACTGATGTTGAGATAATGTTTTATCAAATAGAATTTTTTTGTATATATTTCTCAAATTTTGTTCTCAAATACTTAAATTTTTTTTTCATTAATTATATTTTACTGGTACATTTTAGGTATACAATGCAGTTACATTCATTATTGGGATCTTTACATGATATATCTTGGTTCTTATTTTTTCCCCTTCCCCTTCCCTCCCTTCACCCCTCCTCCCTTCCCTATTTACAAAGAAAGACTTTGTTTCCACATTTTTCTTTTTCTCGTATTTTTTTCTTTTTCCTTCTTTTCTTTCCTCTACCCCTCTCACTTCCACTACTCTTTTAGACCTTTTCTTCCTGTAAAATGGAGTACTGCTCAGCCATAAAGAATGAGAAACTAGAGATATTTATAGCTAAGTGGATGCACATTGAGGCCATAATCCTAAGTGAAATAAATAGGACACACGTGTAAATACCAAATAGTTTCTCTGGTGTGAAAAACTAAAAGTGTAAATAAATATATTTTATATATATTCATTTTGGAAACTTTATTAACTTGGAAGTTCCTTGCATCAGACATCAAGTCTTATTTGCCTTCAGTCTTTTCCCTGGAACTAAACTCATAATTAAATCCTATAATAAATTATTGATTACCTCATTAAAATAATTCATTCCAGGGTATATTAGTAGTTTTCAATGATGAAACATAGTCCAGCCTTTCATTCTCCAGTGGTATCAATAATAATAAAAGTAAACTCTGACCTCAGTTTAAGACTTTATTTAGGAGAAAAATGACTGGCATTCAACCAAGAACCTCTATGCCCTAGAATTCCCTTAACCAAATAGAGTCAAATCCTCATATCTACCTCTGCACACATTAAAGAAGTTCATAGGCTATATCTAATTGTGTGATTATTTCATTATGCTTTCCCTTCTTTACTAGAATAGGAACATCTATAAAAAGGAGCTTCCATTGGGTCACATTGCATTTGACTTTAACAGGACTTGAGTAATACTGTATTTTTGTGTATGTGTATATATATATAAATGAAATGAA